GCCGAAGTCAGAGTAGGCTTAAAATGGTTATCTCCTCATCCACATGACGGGAATACGTGGCAAGTTTTAAGAAAATAGAGACATGGTGCAACTTTGTGTGTGAAGAACTCTCCTCCTAAACAGAGATAATACAGAATTACAACAAGACCTGGTGGAAATTGTCTCTTGGTTCGTGCCCCCCCCCCCCCCCCCCCCCCCCACAAAAACATATTATTAGGCCATCCAGAATTAATTCGTTGTTTCGGGTCACCCGACCGACCATCTTTTTTCACCCGACCGCAAAATGTTTTTTTTTTATATAGTGCATGCAAATGTACGGACTAGACTATGTACACACGCGACCCTAATAATAGCAGTCCAGATATCTACCTAAGAAGCAGCCATGGCTAGCCAAATGACAGGATGCAGCGCTTGGTGACGACATTGTCTTCTATCTCCGATACGCAATCGGTCCTGAAACAGCATCAGCTCAGTCACCTTGTTGCTATTTACAGAAGTTTTCAAGGTGAGAGCTGCTCGTCAGACTCGTTTGCCAGCGAGGCCACGATCTGGTCATGGAGGGGACCTGGATCTGATGGGACAATGACTGCGCTGGATTGTCTACACTACAGTCAGATTTGATCGACTGGCTAGTTGGACAAAAGCTATTCAATGTACATGATTGTACATGTAGGCAAATGGACGTAACCAAAATAAAAAATAAAATAAATAATAAATAAACCCGATCGACCGACCCTGGTACGGATGAGTGAAGTGACCCGAAACAAAGAGTTAATTCTAGGTGGCCTTACGAAATAAAGCTAGCGACAGGCGCTACTAACGTAATGTCTTTTGCATAGCTGCGGGAATTCAATCAGGTCAAGGCTCTCACCTGGTCAAGGCCCAGCCAGAACATGGCCTGCTCACGGATCATCTGTATATCCCGCTTCTTTGAACGTGTACACAGTGGGTAGTCTTCAGCCACTAGGCTGGAAGTGTCCAAGGCGTGCGCACAGCTTGGTGCGCAGCACGTAGATAAGCCATGCTGTAAACACTCCTCGCCCGATGTTTCTCCGCAGGGGCATGGCAATGTGCTGATCACTTCGACCTGCAGGCCCCACTTCCGTAGCACTGTGAGCACGATTGCCCGGACTTCATCCAGCGTAGACTTTCCGCTGCCGCCGTGTCGGCCCTCGCACTCGACGTACACTTGTAAGCCGTAGCGTGTATAGTGCAGGTGCAGCCACGGCCAAACGCTGTTCCAGCGAAGGCGAACGCTGCACCGTGACAGCGTGGCAGCCGAGCGATTGTGTGACTTCAGCAGCACCTCCACCACGCATTGCCAGTACAGGAACACGGGAAAGTGCATCAACTCATCGCTGTCTGTGTGCTTAAAGGACACGTAGGCACAGGAACAAGGCAGCTGGGGGTCCGTGCCCATGTCCCGGACGATTGCAGGTACAATAAACTCGTGCTCATCCTGCACAATTGCCAGGACTGAGAGCCATTCTAGGATTTCAAAAATGAGCTTGAACCCATCACTGCTTGCTCTGACTGCTTGCCACGCCTTAGCATGGTCGCAGTAAGACTGACCCTCGAACATCTTGTTGAGAGCTTTGCGTGCCAGGGACTCCGTCATGAACCCAGACTTATAGCGCCGCTCTTCGTGCATTGTGATGTCTCGGTCAAACTTCATGTAGACAAAGGCATTGACACAGTCCAGGATGAACTGGGGCTCCAGGATGACCGTGTCTTTCAGCTTGAAAGTTGGGAAGTACGCCAGGTGGCCTGCTTCGTGGCAGTACTTCAGCAGCAGCTGTATTTGCCGGTCACTGCAGTCATGTGGAACAGCCTTGACTTGCTTCGCTATGAACTTTGCCTCCTTGAAGGAAATCCAAGGCCACGTGACCTCCTGCTTGAGCGTGTGTATGGTTATGCAGAATCGGAGCCATGGAACAGGGATGTTACGTTGGCTCTTCCGGCAGCGGTCGATGATGGCCTCTCTCAATCGCTGCAGCTCATCTGCTTGTGCTGCACTTCCAGTGGATCTGGTGCTGTCGATTTTGAAGTACGATGTTTCATTCCAGACAAGCTTCTTATACGGCGAACCTTCGATGTTCTTTCGAAGTAGTTTACAAGGATCAGGCAAATCGGTTTTCTTCCACATGTCACTCTGACACCCCACTACAAACACATCATCTGCAGCACTCTGGTCTGTGCTGCTGTCAGCTTTCGCATTCAGCAGCAGCATGTCGAGCCAGCTTAGCAGCTGGTCTAGGCGAGTCGCATTGGCCGGTAGAGTGGCCCGCTCGATACATTCTTCCTGGCTGAACTGAAATTTATCGAGCTTGGGAAGGGTCTCTAGAAGGTCCAGAGAAGAGTTGTATGTGGCAATAAAGGTTGTGTTTTTGGCCATGAAGAGGGGCTGCACGGATTGGTAGACTTGCTGCCCTCCAAGGTCGCGGAATGTGATGACGGTATAGTCGGGCGTGTTGGCCCGGTCAGAGATGTACTTTACCCGGTCTGCGTTGAGAAATCCTGTGATGGTCTTGTGGATTTCCTCGCGCATTGCTGGCCCGTCGCTGCTGCTGCTGCTACTGCTGTCCTCCATAGGTCCTGCATGGGTCCCAGCCACAGGATCCTCTCCTGCTGGGGCTCTCTCTCTGTCATCTTGTGTTGTCTCTTTGTCTTGGGGATGATTCGAAGTGGATGGTTTGCACATCATGGTGAGGACGTAGAGTCGACTCAGAGCATCTGGCATGTCTGGGCATTCGATGAATCGACAGTCATCAGAGATGCTTGTAGTTGCGTAGGACGTGCGCATGCCGGGCGTGCTGAGTTCATTCTCATCGTGCATCTTCTCAAGCAACGCCTTCAGCAAGCTGGTCTTTCCAACGCGCGCCGCACCAAGTATTGCCACGTGCAGGAAATGGATGATGGTCGTACCGCCCAACCTGGCTGCCTCCTGCTCTGCTGCTTCGAGTTCACTGATACTTGGCAGATCAGCAGTATCTCCTGGGCACAACGATAAGCACAGCACACATCAAAAAATGTTGTGTAACTGCAGGTGACATTTACAGTTTGTTGTTTCTTTTGTATTACTAGCAAGAAATCATACAGTACAGGCAACAGGAATGCAAAACAAGTGAGAGTGCATCTTCACTGCATGCACTCGTATTATGAGAAAGCCCGCTTGACTCGCAAGTTTACGGTCACGGGTGTGTCTGAAAGTCATTGCTTCCCGCAGAATACACCACTCCATCACCGGAATATTGGCAGACAGGAGACACCTGTTATGGGGTTGCTACAGTTGAGGCACTGGGCTTTATAGAGTCCAGGGGCGTCACACACGGTACCACCAGCACCACCACGCTTGTACCACTTTTCGCCCCAGATGCTGCGCCCAATTCATCCAAAAAACAAGCAATAAAAGAGCACTAAAATGTGCCCTGTTCACCCAAAAATCACTATTTACCAATGTTGCAAAGAATAGCAAAATCACGAACAAATATTCTAACAAATATGAACAGTACGAAAAAATATTCTACTATTCTACCCTTACAGACGAGCCCATTTCAGCACACTATGCTTCCTTGTTTATTTGAGCCAGCGCGTGCTAAGACATGACCACAGCGTTTGTGGAAAATGTCGAGAAAATCGCGATTTGAATTCCGCGACAACAAAATACGAAGTGGAGTGCGACGCGAGTTGCTGTTCTTGTTCTCCTCGGTAGACTGGACTGTTCTGGATGCAACTCTTTGTTGCAAGTACATGAAAGCTTATTCGTTTGAGTTTGGATTCCATGTTGCACTGAGTCTCCTAAAACGGATCGTCAACGGTGTATCGAAGGAAGAGGCTGATGTACTTCGGAGCGGAAGAAGACGACATCCTCGCGTTCCGATGCCATTCAACGAAAAGTGTAGTGGATAGTCACTACTGGAGGGTTCATAAAGGCACACTTGTCTGTTGTGAAGTCGGGGGTTCGCCCCGTACATTGCATTTTGTATGGCAAGACCATTTCTGAAAATGCAAAATGGGTTACGGGGTAACTGTTTCCCATGCCCCCCTCCCCCCCCCCCCCCCCTACTATTTTGACCTGGCTAGAACCCTGCCATCATATCTTCTTGCTAATGGTACTACTTGGGGACATACAGCTCTATTGCTTCCAACTGGACATTTGCTTCGTTAGTTGCTGCTCATCATGAGCAAGTTGCTGCTAGCAGCCTAGCATTGCTTGCCAGCTCTTCGAGCTTTTGCATTATGAGACCAGTTTCTCAAAGTAACACATAGTTTCCAAAGCCAGTCCTTGTTGCCCTGACTGAGTGTGAATATGTGAGGGATTGGATGCTAAATAGTATTCCAATCAGTGATGCACACTAACCCATTTTTCAAGAACGAATACTCTATCGAATACCAAATCTTCGAACGAACGGATAATCTAGTGTTCGTTGAAATTTCTTGACGGCCCACAAATGTAGGAGTTGCATTTTAATAGAAAGTATAATTTTCGCAGTAAAAGAGTATTTATTTGTAGAGCTTGGGTTGATACAGATTCCTAGGTTCAAACCCCAAGATGGGCAGTTAGTTACATTTTTTCTCTCCTTGCGTATTTTGTATCTGCATGTTATTACCCTTTCCGTGAGTCGCTCGTGAGTAATGTATGAGTCGTGTATGGCTAAACCCGTATTTACCCGTATGACTGCTGCTAGTGTTATTGTTCTAGACCATTAGCATAATTAACCAATCACAGTTCACAGCTCTGGAATATTCTAGAATTTCGTCGGCGACCGGTTTATATAGATTGCTCATTGGTTGATGACCTAAAAACATGGCTGCCGTTCGCCGCGTGTTTTGTCTTCTTGCATTGTTCTTTTCTTGTGCTCTTTTCACTTCTTATCTTTACTTGCCGAGTGTGTAACTAATAATTCTGTCCTAACGAGTATTCGTGAAACCACAAAGTGAGTGCTTTGTTTGAGTGTGTGGAATTGTCTCCGAGGGCCAGCTACTACACAAACTTCTGCATTGCGTCTGTGCTTTTTGCCTGGGATACCTTCGCATCCGTGGCAGCTACAGCCGTCGAGCAAGTAACACGCCGTCGGATAAGATGTTCCCGCATTGAGCTCGTAGTCAAGCCATTGAACTTGAGTTTGCATTGAACTTTTGCGCCTCCTTCAACTTTCTCGAAGTGCTCCTAAACGGAGCTGCTACGACCAGCTGTGCCAGAAGCTATCACAAAAAACGAACTGGATGTCCAGAACGTTCTTCAAAGTGAAAGAGAGGGGTGAGTTGGACCGCACTAACATAGTAAAGAAGAAGGCACCATGGGCTCCCACTTCACAACAGTACAGTGTGTGTACTGTACTCGTACAATTACACGTGCCCTTCGCAACTGTACTACAGTGCCGGCACTCTATTGTTACTACTACTAACTGTCTGGCGAGCGCTCACACATCCCGGATTCGTCAAGTACACGTACGGTAACCGCTGTACTGTAATCTGTAGCAGCGGCCCTAGCTCTATTGCCGCTAGCGCAGGGTCCACATGTACTCGTACAAAACTAGCATGCATGCCACACATAGAACATGATTGTACAGCTCTTCGAACGAACTTTATTACTATTCGACTATTCGTGTGCATCACTGGCCATTCGTAACTTTTTTGGCGAAAAAGAAGTTTGAGAATTGATTTGTCACTTACCTGCCTGCAGCTGTTTGGCCTCCTTCATAGAGAGTCAGAAAAAACAGAGACACAAATCACACATATGTGTTAGACATGCTCTCTCTCTCTCTCTCTCTCTCTCTCTCTCTCTCTCTCTCTCTCTCTCTCTCTCTCTCTCTCTCTCTCTCTCTCTCTCTCTCTCTCTCTCTCTCTCTCTCTCTCTCTCTCTCTCTCTCTCTCTCTCTCTCTCTCTCTCTCTCTCTCTCTCTCTCTCTCTCTCGTCGTTCATTTGCCCTCGCTGGGCAGTATAGTTTAGGCCCTAGCGGGCAGTATGCTTTTCCCTTGGCGGGCAGGTTGTCGGCCTCGATGGCTGTTCGTTTGCTCAATAGGCAGTATGATTTAGCCCTCGGTGGGCAGTATATAATCGGCCCATGGTGGGCAGCATGCTTTGGCCCTCGGTGGGTACTATGCTTTATCCCTTGGCGGGAAGTTTGCTTTAGCCCTCGTTGGGCAGGCTATTGGCCTCGACGGCCGTTGTGCACCCTCGGTTGGGCAGTATCCTTTAGCCTTCGGTAGGCAGGTTGCTGGCCTCAGCGGCCATTCGCACGCCCTCGATTGGGCTATACGCTTATTCTTGCGCCCTCGGTCGGGCTACAATCATGCGCCCTCGGTCGGGCTATAATAATGCGCCCTCGGTGGAGCTATAATCATACGCCCTCGGTCGGGCTATAATCATGCGCCGTCGGTCGGGCTAAAATCATGCTCCCTCGGTCGGGCTACAATCATGCGCCCTCTGTCGGGCTACAATCACGCGCCCTCGGTCGGGCTATAATCATGCGCCCTCGGTGGGGCTATAATCATGCGCCCTCGGTGGAGCTATAATCATACGCCCTCGGTCGGGCTATAATCATGCGCCGTCGGTCGGGCTAAAATCATGCTCCCTCGGTCGGGCTACAATCATGCGCCCTCTGTCGGGCTACAATCACACGTCCTCGGTCGGGCTATAATCATGCGCCCTCGTTAGGGCTATAATCATGCGCCCTCAGTCGGGCTATAATCATGCGCCCTCGGTCGGGCTATAATCATGCGCCCTCGGTCGGGCTATAATCATGCGCCCTCGGTCGGGCTAAAATCATGCTCCCTCGGTCGGGCTACAATCATGCGCCCTCTGTCGGGCTACAATCACGCGCCCTCGGTCGGGCTATAATCATGCGCCCTCGGTAGGGCTATAATCATGCGCCCTCGGTCGAGCTATAATCATGCGCCCTCGGTCGGGCTATAATCATGCGCCGTCGGTCGGGCTACAATCATGCGCCCTCTGTCGGTCTACAAGCACGCGCCCTCGGTCGGGCCATAATCATGCGCCCTCGGTAGGGCTATAATCATGCGCCCTCGGTCGAGCTATAATCATGCGCCCTCGGTCGGGCTATAATCATGCGCCCTCGGTCGGGCTATTATCATGCGCCGTCGGTCGGGCTAAAATCATGCCCCGTCGGTCGGGCTAAAATCCTGCGCCCTCGGTCGGGCTACAATCATGCGCCCTCTGTCGGGCTACAATCACGCGCCGTCGGTCGGGCTATAATCATGCGCCCTCGATCGGGCTATAATCATGCGCCATCGGTCGGGCTATAATCATGCGCCCTCGGTCGGGCTATAATCATGCGCCCTCGGTCGGGCTACAATTATGCGCCCTCGGTCGGGCTATAATCATGCGCCCTCGCTTGGGCTATACGCTTCTTCGCGCGCCCTCGCTTGGGCCGTATGCTTTAACTCTCGATGGGTAAGCTGTTGGCCTCGGCGGCCATTCATGCGCCTGCAGCGGGCAGGTTACTGGACACATTGGCCATTTGTGCACCCTTGGTGGGCAGTATGCTAACGGCCCACGGCGGGTAGTATTACTTAGCCATCAGTGGGCTGGCTGTTGGCCTCGCTAGCCGCTCGTGCTACCGGTCCACGGTGGGCAGCTGCAGGCTAGCCCTCGGTGGGCCGTTCGTGCGTTTGCCCCCGGTGGGCAGTGTGAATCACTGACGATCGAACGTGATGATGTGACTCAACTATTATCGTTTGTTTTCTTGGAACTGGTCTATCATCACGTACTATTATCTTTAATCAAATTGAAGTCATGGCAACCCCCAAACCTATGTGTTGATTGCTTGTGAGTGAGTGCGTCAGTCAGTACGTCGTTGTACGGACAGACTGGGCGTGGGAGTGTCTGCAATTATGTTTGTGCACATGAATGTGTGTGTGTGTGTGTGTGTGTGTGTGTGTGTGTGCGTATGCAGAAGTATGCCCGCAGACCTGGGTGTGTACCCGTGGGCCTGGGTTTTAAATTTGTAAATTCCCGTTTGAAAAAATATCCCACACACTACATTTGCAGCGCGCACTTTCAACATCGGCACTTTTGCTCGTGTGCAAAGTATAATCGTGAGCACAAGGGCCCCGGCCAAGTTCAAAAATCAGTTGCAAGCGTGTGTCCAAGTTTATCGTATGCGAGCAAATATCCTTGGAAACGGTACGATAAATTTGAGTTTGCACGTCGTGTGAATGGCCTACTTCCTCCGTTAACAAAAACTTCGTGAGGGATTTTTGAGGGACTGGTTTGCACACAGACTGCTGTGAAATGAGTCGCAATCACTTTCTCGGCCTTCCCTGGCATGGCATGAAAAAGTACGATGCAAGGAAAGCGACCTTTCACAACAAGCGAGCGGAATCGATGGTTGAGCTGTGGCAACATGAGGACAGTAATGGCGAGCGAAATTGAAATATCACTTCTCCGAGGGGGTAATACGCTGCTTGGCCTCTCTACTACTCTAGCACTGAGTTTGAGAGCGATGGAACGGAGCAGCGAGCCCACACAATGAGCGAGTGAACAAGGCGGTGCTCCGATCGCACGGCGCAATGAAATAATTCTGAACTCAGGTTCTTGTTCAACCTGCGCAAAGCCCAGATTCGAACGCTGATGACCGTGCATTCTTTCAGAAGTCTGCAGTCCGACGCAAGTCTCGTGGCTAAAGAAAGTCGACTGGACTTGCTAGCCGCTGCCGTTCAGTGCTGGCAGGGTATCAATCACAGAAAATGGAATCAGTTTGGCTGTGCCTTTAGTAGTCCTTTACTCCTCGTTTCGCGGAGTTCTGGAGAGCAAAGATGAAACCAGGGAGTCGTAAAATATTTTTACGACTCCCTGGTGGAAACGAGTAATCACCACCGCGGCGGATCACGCAGCTTGAAAGCACACTTACTTCAATGACGGCGACATCAAGTTCAGCCAAGTGTGATCAAAGAAGCCGAGGCAAGGCTGAAACGAGCTGAACAACGACTCGAACGAGATGACGACTCGCGCGCAGCAGATGACGGCAACGAACCAGGGTCAAACATGATTCGAGCAAAAGCGACGCAAACTGAACTATCTGCTCATTCTGCCAACAGTTTCTCTTGTAAAGATGCTGTACATAGGCTGAACTACCTTCGTCCAGTGATTTGCAGGCGATACAAACTGTTCTTGACCTATTCTAAGCGTTTTCGTATCGATCAAAATCCATCCCGAAGTTTTTGTTAACGGAGGAAGTACTTTGTCCGCCAAGTTAAAATTGCCACTTATCTTCACTCTTGTCTCAAAACGAAAATACAAATATTCGAAGCATGCCACGATCAGAAAACGCTACGTATATGATACTTTACACGGCAGAAAGCAGCTCAGCCGAAAATCCTTGCAAGTTACACATCCTCCTCGCCACTATCGTCGCTGGAGGAAGAGCTCAAAACATTCAATCCAGACAGATGCTGCTCGTTTCATAGCTTGTTCCACTTCTCCTCGTCTCGAATCATGCTCAAAGGCAGTCACCTGTCGTGCCTGTCATCTTGCCGCTCAGAAGCTGAGTGAGAGTACCCGTGTGGTGGCTGTATGTGTTATCCCCGTTCGTCGCAATAAATGCCTTTGTTTGAGGCAAAAAGGCAACACCACATCACTGCCAGTTTTCAAATCGCCTCTTGCGCTTGTCGTACTTGCTGATCACCACCCATGCAAGCCGCTGGTGCTTGTAGTGCAGTGATAGCTTCTGCTTGATGTAGTACCTAAGCGTACTGCACCTAACGTCTTGCACCAGTGTTGCACTGACTCTGGATCAGGCGTAGCTCTTTTCTGCGAGATTCCTGCAAGTTGTTTGCACGAGAGTTTCCCTCAGGAGTTGGTGTTTATTTTGATCAGCTCCTTTGCCAAGTCCTCTGTGAGCTTCAGAGTGTGTCTGCCGGATTGGTCTCGCATTCTGGAGATGTCGATATGATCTGTAGTTTCTTCGTCGGTGCTTTGCTGGTGAGAACGCTTCACTAGCCGCTGTACAGTGCGAGTATTCAAATTCAAGCTAGCGATGCGCTTTTTCAGCTTTTCTATGCCTCCCCGCGGAAAACCATCCTTGCCACCAGACAGCTGGAAGTAGGCAGAAACTGTATTCGCCATTGCTCTGAATTGTGAACATCCTGACCTGTTTTACGGACTGGAGCGGAGGTTGCAGCCTTTTATTGCGGTGACGGAAGTGTTCGTCGGTGGCAGCTCCAGTCAAAAAGATTCAAACGAACTGATTACAACTTCTGTGGTGGTTTGTGCTGCCATATTGTCGGATGCAATGGTCTATGGTTATGTTCGGATGGTGAATCGGTGGTTCCATGCGGTATGACGCAGGCAGAACACCGAAAAATCAAGTGCGAAGATAAGCGCCAATTGTAACTTGGCGGACCAAGTATTAGCAAACGTCACTTGTCTAGTGAGAATGTGCCTTGCCGTCGTACACAGTATATTCACCATCATACTTTATTCCAACAGGAGTGCATAAAACATTTGGAAATTTGAGAAAAGTCACAAAAAGAGGCGCAATTTACTGCGCTTTCTCCGTATCCTTGTTGAAATCGCACGCACTGGATTAAAAAGAAAACCACTCGTTGCGGTCATGACGAGTAGACCCCTCCGAACTAATCAAACACCAGTGTGCTTCGCGGGGTCAGGATGGGATTCTAACACAGTTTCCTAATTCGTCTTGCTGTTTCACGGCTTGCAAATGGTCCCAATTATCACATGCACCTGGCGTCTGGTTGATCAAATGCAGTGATACCCTACAAAAGCCGGCCGGCACCAAATTTAGCTCTTGGTGCACAGAATAGGATATAGTTTAGGTGATTGCTACATGCATCCCCTCCCCCATTTTTATTGGAGCATATGCTGTTCTTCATCATGTTTTGGCTGCTCACTGACAACAGGTACTGGCACCTCCGCGTCGGGCGGAATGTCAGTCCGCTCCGAACTGGACTGGCAATGACTTGATCACTCCCACTGTTTCCTGTTGGAACAGGAATTGCACCGTCGCAAGAATACTTTGCAAAAATCCATCCAGGCTCTGCTAGCCAGAGCTTGGCTTCTTTGGTCCATGGATGTTGCTGAGACTTCGCAGAAAAAATCTTCAAGTCAACCAATTCGCGATTCAAATCTGGAGGGGATCATCCTCAAAACATCGTTGTACAACGTTGCGAAAAGAGGCGGTTGACGACCACCAGCTTTGTTTTTGTCCCACTTGAGCAGCGCTGCGTTCAGCACATCACTGCACGCCTTTCTCAAGACGCATCGAGCGCGTCCTGGAATCTGTACAAAAGTCTACAGCTCGTACAGAGTCGAGCGTTTCTTTCGCAGTGCAATCAATGCCGCTCACACACCAACGGCCCGTGCAACCTCTTTTGGACGACCCCTAATGAAAACTGTACAAGCTCACGCGCCCACAGACTCGTAGTACATGCCTCGTACGGTATGACTCATCATCTCCAGAAAAGTCAACAAAACGAAACATTCCGCCATGGCCAGACCAAGCGGAGTTACACACTCTCGTGTTTACGTAATCTTGATCTCATAGACAGCTGTACAAATGTAGGACATGGTGGTGGTAGGTGCACCTCACGTGACTCACGTGACACCTAGTCACTGCATAGTTCAACCAATCAAATGTACGACACGCTGCAATGTTTACTGTATACACACAGTACATCTAAATTCAGTCACTCACAGTCAAGTCTATTCAACATACCTTCGCACTCTCGTGATCCACCAGCAACTGCACGCATCCTTCATAATCATGATAATCGTATTTCCTGGCTATATCCAACGCTGTTTGCCCATCCTGAGTAACTCAACAACACATCACAGGAACAACAGAAAATCATTTTTGAGAAAATTCGTTCCAATTTTACAAAAACGAAAACACAACGAAGGCCAAGGACATAATCTACAACCAGACGAAATCAACCTCTCCACAAGACAACTTACATGTACAGAACAAGTCTCTCCTTCCTCAGCAACATTGCTACTCCATGCAGTTCATGCCTCGACAAATTTGAATTTTTTTACAGATTTCTACTCGAACGAAAATATCCACGACGAGAGGAAGACGTCCACAGCGCCTGCTCCACGTCAGGAACAACAGCATGTCTTCTGCGTACTCGTTACAATAACAACAACCCTTCACTCCTCACTCGTTCCAACAGACACCATCAAACAGTCTACTCCTTCACACACTGATTTCGAAAATATTCAAAAATGAACCACAGAGTGAATATGACCACGTGGCGATACTGTACGCATGATGTCATCGAGTACGGTATTGTACAACTGGTACACATTTCTGACAAGAGGAGAGTTGTGGTAGTTGTGTGTGAGAGAGAGAGAGCGAGGGGCAGAGAGAAAGAGAGAGAGAGAGAGAGAGAGAGAGGCAGGACAGGTGAGAAGGACGAGTAGAAAATGTTCACTTCACAACAACACACAATCAAATACTTACACTGTCACGCAGTGTGGTATCCAAGGTGACACCGTCACTGTCATGTGACAGCATCACCTTGACAACGTTGAGCTTGTTACTGAAGACTGCCCAGTGAAGTGGAGTCCGTCGTAGCTGTAGTGTCGAGAAAGAGAGAATGTGATGAGTATTGCTATACAACCATTACACTAACTACTACAACCACACACCGACACAGACCTGGACAACTAGAACAAACGCATTAACACACACATACACATACACACACACACACACACACACACACACACACACACACACACACACACACACGCACGCACACGCACACACGCACGCACACACGCGCACACACACACGCAGGGGCGCACATGCACACACACACATGCACACACACACATGCACATACATGTACACACACGCAGATGTACATACACACGTGGACATACAAACAGAAGGACACACATGCAGAAACAACGAACAGATTGTCTTAGAGACACACAGATAGACATGTAGGACCATACAAACTGAGAATAGACCGATCCCCTTATTATTGTCTGGGTTCGAGCAAGGGGGCAACTCCGCAGTCGCGTGGGATCCTGCTGCACACACGCGACCAACCTCACCTCGGCTTTGCGTGACTTCTCGCATGCGAAGTGCAGATGCAGAGCACGCGAAATCTACACGCAGTGCAAGCCTGTCTACAAAAATGCCACAAGGACTTTTGATTTGAGCTGTTTTGTTTTTGTTTAGACGTCTTCCTTTTTACGACTTCAGGATGCCTTCTCAGGATCATTGCTGCGTTCCTCACTGTCAGAACAGGAGGACGAAGCAAACAAGTCATTTCACTCCTTTCGTCGTGTGGAGCCACAGCGGCCTGGAGCAAGCGGATCCAGGCTATTCCCCGTGAGGAAGGACGTAGTTTTAGGGTCACTCTGAATATTTGAGATGCAGCGATCATTTCGATCCCGAAGTCGAAATCGTTTTGCCCAGCTCTACAAGGGCAGGATGAGTCCAGGAAACCAAACAGCTGTCCTACGGTACCAGGTTTGCTTTTCGCAAGAGAGTGGAGTCTGGACGCTCTGCTCCCCATGCTCGCAAAACAGTATTTGGTGAGCCTAGTGCAGTTCGGTCATGGAAGTGCAGCGTCTGCATCACGAGCTCCCCATGCTCGCAAACCAGTATTTTGCTGAGAGGCAACGGCATTTTGAGTTGGAAAGGAACCTGGCTTAGTGCAGTTTGGTCCTGTAATGGAAGTGCAGCATCTGCATCAGGAGTTGGCAGCAAGTAGAGCTCGTGTACAGAGTCTCATGGAGCAGTTGGACGATGGGGTGAAGAAAGCCGAAAAACAGCTTACGTACAATAACATAAAGAAAGACTCTGAGCCGCGCCAGTTTCTGACTGGTTTGCCTTCAGGTGTTTGGACCGCTCTGTGGGACTTCTTTGAGCCTAGCCGAGAAAATGTACTGCGCCGAGCCAGATCTGCGAAGACGGAAGCTGAGGGACGGCGGATACAGTTGGAGGTGGCCGTAAATCGCCAACGAGCATGTAATGGAGGATCAGCTGCTATTGGCATTGATGTGTCTAAGCCTGGGCCGTATGGGACAGAAGCTGTAATGCGTGGCACAAGTTAATCATCCGTTTCACGGTATATACTATATAGCTAGCCGAGCTGGAAAGTTGTCTTGTTCCTCCGTTTGGGCATGATCCCCATTTGGGCGAGCTGGCGAGATGTCCAGTCATCAATGCCATGTACCGCAAGACATTCTGCATTGTGGATGAAACAGTTCTATTTTGCCATGCACTTAGGGTTCTCGCACCGGCACAACAAGACCCAACAGATCCTTGCGCTCTTATTTTCTCCCATGGTAACATTGCTGATCACAACACCCAGTAGCCAGTCGCAGATGCAACCAAATCAACCAGGTTCTCTTACTCTTTTTTTCCAATACTGAAACCAAAGGTATACCAATATTTGCATCGAATGCAGTGATGATTTCAATACTGTCCACTAGTACAACGCATTACCAGACTGGCATATAATCATGATAATATTATCCATTTCGCAATCACTGTCATTGCTTTCTTAGATCTTCAATCATCAATATCGGACCATAAACCGTCTATCATCTTCTATTATATCATCATTTGTATCATGCTACTATCCTCCTCTAACGATGAGCTCGAAGAAAAGAAACAGCGGTCTAGAGTAAACATTATCTGTCAACGGAAGTGTCCTTGCTGTGCTGGTGTGTTTATGCTTCGTGCATTAGTTCGGCCAAGAGCGCATGGTGGTGGCGGGTTGAGGATGTTAAATATACTAGAAAATAGTTCACTCTGAACGTGCAGGGGGGTATATTCATAGGTTCGAAAGAACCGCACACACACTTTGCTGCAGACAGCGGCAAGCTTTGGCCCTCGTGCTTCGAAGAGGGAGCAATCCACTGCGCTACGCTTGCGATTAACAGCAAGCTTCGACTTTTCAAAGGTACGACTCATCATTGGCTCTGGGGTAATGTTCCTGGAACAAATGCCCCATAGCCAACTGAGGGCCAGGGAGCACGCAATCTGCCTTCCTGGGCGAGAAGTGTTCCAGCACAAGAAGCAGCACGAATACATGCTGACAAAGACCACCATCACCACCAGCCGGCACACAGCACACTGTTCTTCAAACACCATCCACTCCGTCCATGTGTTTGCACTGTCCTCCTCTAGCTCTTCACGCTCAACAAATAACACGCACTGCTCATCGTTTTTTTATGCTTCCTCTGGGTTGGCTAGCCCTTCGACTTGACAAAACAGCGATCACCACTGCACTGCTATCGTCACCTCATAGCAGTCGCTTCCACCAGTGGCTTTTCCTGTCTTTGCAAGGTGTCCAAGGATGGCTGCTGTTGTCATTACAGGCAAATCAGAAGTACTTTAGTGGCTGATGTCCAACCAGATCGTTGGAAAATCGATTTTCCACTTCAGGGCTGCTGATCGCGACTTGGTGACTTGGCAGCACCACGGTTACCTTCATAGAAGATGGCTCTGGAGAGGAAAAGACAGACCAGAAAAAGGTTAATATTATCTTCAGCACCGATCGCAAGGAGAAAGAAATGTGGTCTGCTGTAGCCTAGGCACAAAATAAATCTCACAACACGATTCGCGATTCGAATATTTCAACAACAAAAAAACTCACCTCTGGAGTAACTCCTGTTTGTGGCCCGAGATCGTACCCTCCCGCGCCTTGAAAAAATCCTGCAGCGGCATCACAGTCCATGTCTCTCTCGGAGACTCTGCTCCTACCAGCAGGAGGTTTAGCACCGCTCGAAGCCATCGCAAACTACATGAACTAAGCAGAAGACATTCCAAAACAAACCTGAAACACACTGTCAAAGATGCTGTCACGTTCAAAAACTAGCTCGATCGCGAGTGAGGTTGCCCCCGTGCTCGAACCCAGTATAATAAGGGGATCGGTCTATTCAGTTGAGACAACCAGACTCTAAACTATCACTAGTTCTTACCGCGCGGTCCTGCACATTGACATCAGCTCCTCGTCCGATGAGAATATTTGCTAGTCGATCATTTCCATACTCTGCACACCAGTGCAGTAGTGTACAGTTGAACTGTACACACACACACACACACACACACACACACACACACACACACACACACACACACACACACACACACACGCACACACATGCATACACACACACACGTGTGGGCCCACACACACACACAAACACACACACACATGCATACACACACACACACACACACACACACACACACATACACACACACACGCATACACACACACATACATACACACACACACAAACAAACACACACACACACACACGTGCACACACACACACACACGTGCACACAGGCACATGCGTGCACACACACACACACACACACACACACACACACACACACACACATGCATACACACGCACACACACATACACGCACACATACACACACACATACAAACGCACACACACACGCACAAACACACACGCACAAACACACACACACATGCGTGCACACACACATACACACAGACAGACAGACACACACACACAGGCACACATGCACACACACATGCATGCACACACGCACACACGCACACACACACATACACACACGTGACAGACACACAGTCAGTTGTACATCCCAATGACGCGAAATCTTGAGGCATGTGGACAGACGGATACATGGTACAGTGCAGGGATACAGACACACTGGAGTGAAACGTCAGACAGACAGAAAGACAGACAGACAGACAGACAGACAGACAGACAGACAGACAGAACAACCATGACAAACCTGAACAGTACTGAGTCTTGTAACAATCAAGAACACAACAACTTACGTTAGTTTCGTCTTGCTCATTCACCTCTACACTATGTACACTAAATATGTAGTGTACAATAGTGTAGAGGACTTCATCACGAAGATGCTCACCCTCCGAGCAGATCACACAAAGGAGCATTGTCTGTGTGATATACAAAACAGAAAAAAACGATTTGACAATTACAAAAACGACAGCAACAATACTCTCAGTACAATGCCATCAGGAGTTAGGAAACCTACTGATTGACCTCAGGGGTCAGCGATCCAAACCAGACAAATTGCCATAACTTTATTCCAGCTTGAGAGAAGCTTGCAGCAATTGCAATTGCACATCTTGTAAAGGTATGTCACACCAACGATTCCCACTGGTCAACAATCACTTGACAATGGTACAGACAAGAAGACTAGGTGTCACAGAACCCCCCCCCCCACACACACACTGTACAGCAACACTCTACTTACTCCCATTGAGTAGCAGAGTGTCCCCAATATTGATAATGGTTTCCATGTCACTTTACGTGATGTGGAGGACAATTGCGGCTGCTCAGGAGGTACAGCAGCCTGAAGACTTTCCGTTGTGGCATCCCGTCGCCGTACTTCCACAGCAAATCCTTCGACGTCTTGACTGGACATGTCTGTACAGGGACAATGCATACGCAACGCAGGCAAACAGACGGACAGACAGACAGACAGAGAACAGACAGACTGACATACACACACAGACA